GAAAGGAAGGAAGGAAGGAAGGAAGGAAGGGAGGGAGGGAGGGAGGGAAGAATTATGGGGTCTGCGACATCTCTAGGAACTTAGTTTATATGTGGGACTAATCACTCCCAGTTTGAGACAGAATCTAGTTTGGTAGGTTGTGCCCAAGCTAAGTGATTGATTGACCCAATAATAGTGTTAGAGAGTGGGGTGGGGGAGAGTTTAATAGAAAAAGAAGCTCAAATAAATTGTCCTTCAGAACTTTGCTAGGAGAGTTAAAGGGTCATGCCCCCAGACAGTCATGAGGAGCCCTGGAGTGGGAGAGCACTAGAGGAGATGACATCATGGTCTAGGCAGCCAGAAGGAACCCTGAAGGGAAAGACAAACCTTTCCTTTCCATTAGCTTCCTCAGACCCAGAGAACAAAAGACGTTTCTGACTCATACTGTTCTTTTTTTGGGTGGTGTGTGTGTGTGTGTGTGTGTGTGTGTGTGTGTGTGTGTGTTAGTTCTGTACCATGCAATCTTGCCTGACCTAGTCTGGAAAGCCTAGACAAGAAAGCACAGTTCCAACTGAAGTCTGTCTCAGCCCAGGTATGGGGGAGCTGGGCTTGCTCCCAGCTGATGTGTGTGTGTGTGTGGGAGAGATCTTTGTGAGAACTAAAGATCACAGCAGCTCTCTATAACCAACCTTGAGAAAGGATACTGAAGGGGCGTGACCTGATTTCCGGGGGTGACAGCAACAGCTATGAATAACTCAGATAGAGAGGTCCTTCTGTTTCAGACTTGAATTAAATAAATCGTCCCAATATTTACTTACAAACAACGATGAGCAAGTGGGTTTGCAGGACTATGAAAGCACATAGCAGGAATCTTTGTAACATCAAGGCTTTTCTAGATTGACCAGCATGCAGACTTATCAAAAGGCATGATTTTTAGTCTATAGTAAAGCCCATTTTCCTTATCATGACTCTATTGTAACCAGCAAACTAGGAACAACCATGATCACAGCTCATTTTTCTAACAATTTTTCTTAGGACAAGGCCCAAAGAATCCTCTCCTATGGGGATTATATCAATAATTTATCCAAACAGGGGTCTGGTTGTCTTGCCTGATGACAGTGTCCTTGTTGAAGACCAGAGGTAGGATGTGAAGAAGCAGCAGAAAACTACTTTGCAAATCAACCAGGTAGCCTCTTCACGGGGGCAAAAGTTCAGGTTTTCCTAGGAAACAACAACCTGGGTCAGCGGGGCCTGAAACACCATATAGATCCTATTGGCCATAAAATAACGAGAATAACAGCAACGGACTGAGTGCTATTTCACTCTCAGCGCACACAACTTATATAATTGCATGTCAGCGCTGGGAACTCCTGAAAAGGGAGACTTAGTGTAATATAGCGGGAGAACACTTACTTCCCAGAGAGGAAAACTGAGGTCTTGGGGAAATTATTGTGAATTACTGACAGAGACTGCTATGGAACCCCAGGTTCTATATTCTCCTTCTAAGCCCTTCATACAGCACCAAATGAAGTAATTTACTTCAGATCAAGAGGACCGGGTACCTTTTTGTCTATGAAACTGATCAGGCCAGGAAATTGGCAGATGGATCCTCTTTCTTCCAGCTTTTGCGGGCTTTAGGAGCTATACGTGATTTTCTTCTACTAAGGACTGATAAGTCTCAGTACAAGTGTAAAATGATGTGTGTGCTCACTTTACAAATGAGAAAGGCCAGGTCGGCGTCCTCACAGAACAGTTAAAAGAGAGAATTGAATCATGCAACCTCTGCTCTCAGAATCATTCTGGATCCTAGCCTTTGGCTTCTTACCTTTCTAAGGACTCTCCTTGAAGTGAACGCGTCGCTTGGTTGCTGGGTAACCAAGCACCTCCACTCAGTTGCTAAGGGGAAGTCAGGTAATAAATATCCTGGGTGAAAGTTGACCTATCACGTGACTACATTTCTGGGTGGCGAAACGCTTCTAACACCAACCAGCCTTGAAGAAAACAAACGTCTCTCCAATCAGCACCGTCAATGCGCCGCAACTTCTAGTTACGCTTCGTTATGTGGATAATTGGCACGCCTTTTATCCAATCATAGTAAGGATTTTCTAGACTGACAAACAGGCTAACGAATCAAAAGGAAGGAACCCCGTTTGGAGGCGGGTCCAGAGGGTTGAGCCGCTACGGCTGACGGGGACCCCAGTGACTTAGCTTGCTTCGTGCCCAATCGGACGCTGCGGGGTGGGTGGGACTTCACCGAGAGCGGCGTGCCGTCCAATCGGAGGCGGTCTGGGGAAACGCTGCCCAATAGGGATGCACCCAGAGGGCGAGGTCAGGCCGGCGCTCGGCGTTCCCGAGGGTGGGGCGGGGGCAAGTGTCAGTCAGGGCAGTGCGCGGCGCGGGCAGTGGAGACCCGCGGCAGACAGGCATCCGGGCCGGAACGAGGCCTGCAGAGATGGAGTTCCTGCTGGGGAATCCGTTCAGCACTCCTGTAGGGCAGTGTCTTGGTAAGGCCACGCGTGGGGTAGGCGTCGAGTGAGCCACAGAGCGGCTAGCTGGGCTGGTGAGGTCCGGGGCCTCCTCCCCGCACAGATACCACTTCACGTGGGGCTTGGGCCTCTGACAATAAGCGGTGTCATCTCAAAGGTGGACCGGGCATCCTTGTCACGAGGCCTCTGCCTGACGCCGGTGCCACCTCACCCTGCCAGGAGGCTCCCCTGAGGTGTAACTTGGACTCTGAAAGGCCCCCTGCATCCCTACCCATCAGGGCCCAGCCTTTCCAGTCTCTCCCTAGAAGTAGTGCTGATGCTGGTCTGCTTACCCTTGCGTATTGGGGATGTCACTGCGAGCAGTCTTCTCCAAGCATCTCGCTGCATCTCCTCCCAGGGCCTCTTTCTGCCAGAACCTTTGTGGAATGTCACTTCTTTCTTTCCTTCTTGTCCCTACTCATGGGTACCAGTGGCTTTGAGGCTGGGCACCTTCCCAGAAAATGTCCAAAACTGCACGACTTCTAATTTGTGCTGCAACTCCACCAGGCTGTAGGAAGGACTGGAGTGGGGGAGGCGCTCCAGGAAGGTGACTGTCTTGGCAGGGGGATGGCACGGCCCCAAAGCCTCCTAGGAAAGAAGGGAGACACTGCTTGTTGATAAACACTTCCCTGGAACCCGGAAACTTGGACTTCAGTAGTGACTTTGCCAGGGACTCTCCTCTTGACCTTAATTCTCTTGTCTTTCACACGAGGTGTTTGGGCGGAAGATGTGGTGGGACTTTCCAAGTTCTCAAGTTTTTAACTTTCTTTGTTGCTATGCAGTATCTTCTAACATTGACTCTTGTTTTTCTCGCTATATTAAATCGACAAGACCGAAATCTTGCTGGTAGTATAGTTCATAGTATTCCGATCACCCGTCAATACAATAAGGAGCCAGAGAAGGGCAGCATGCTCTATAAGGAAAAGCACAGCCGAAGTGGCCACTGCCAAGTTTCCTTACGGAAAAATCCACGTGCAGACTGGGGCATAGTTCAGTGGTTGAGCTAGCTAAGCACACACAAAATCCTAGGTTTGATCTCTAGCATTGAAAGTAGTAAGTAATAAACAAGCAATTTGGCTTTTCACCCTAGGCAGGAACTTATGCCAAGGGATCAGTCAAAAATGCTGATTAGTGTCTTTTAAAACTGTTTTGGGGCTGAAGTGCTGGCTCACTGGTTAAGAGCACTGGCTGCTGATTCAAGTTCAATTCTCAGCAACTGTCTAGTGGCACACAACTGGCTGTAATTTCAGTTCCAGGGGATTGGTTGCCCTCTTCTGGCCCCTTTTATATACATGGTATGTAAATGGTGCACAGACGTACAGGCGAACAAGACACCCTCACATAAAATGCTTAAAAATTAAACATTAAAGCTGGGTTAGCAGGTTAGTTAAAAATACTTTGTATGAACAGGGATTTGTATTGCCCTATGGGTCTGACTAGTTCAGGCAATAGAGGTTTGCTTATTTTCCTCTTTGCATATGAATTTACAGCCTACTTTTCAGTCTTTAGAGGGGCCTATGAACTTACTGAGGCTTCTTTTGTTGGTTAACTGGTATTTTAGGGACATTTTGTTCTTTTTGGTTCATTGTCTTTCATAAGTAATCGTGGATCCTGGGACCTGAAAGTCTTTTTCTACTTCTGTGACACTTTGTTCTCTGGTGTTCACTCGAGTATCTCTCTATTTTTTTTCAATTTTATGAGTTTGTTTTGCCTTCATGTATGTCTATACACGTGTGTGCCTTGTGTACCCAGAGGCCAGAAGAGGGCGTCGGATCCCTTGGAACCGGAGTTTGAGACAGTGGTGAGCTTCCATGTGAGTGCTGGCACTAAAACCTGGGTCCTCTGGAAGAGCAGCCAGTGCTCTTAACCACTGAGTCATCTCTCCAGACTCCCCTCTCTTTTTGAAAAGATTTTGTTTTATTTAGATATGCGTGTGCATGTGTCTGTGTGAGTGAATACATACATGTTTGTGTACGTGGAGGATATGCCTGAGGAGGATGACATTGGTCCCTTCGCGCAAAGTTGCAGGCATCTGTGATCTGGCGGGTGAGGGTGCTGGGATTCTGTTTTGCCCCCATCTTCAAGTGTTCTTTCACTGTGGTCTATGCTCATTTCTCAATCCAGTGTTGAGTTCAAGCCGGTAAACTTGAGGGGTTTGTAGGACTGGGGAGGGAAGCTGGTAGGTATAAAGGACAGAATGGCAAAAGGGGAAATAAGGGACATAGGGGTATTTGAATGGCCGTAAAAAAATAAATGTGCTAGATGTGACCTGAGTTGAATGACCTTGGCTGTAGAACCTCAGAAGATTGTGTAAACCTTCAGAACCTGAGAGTGACTGGAGGGGCGAAAAGCAGGGAAGGGTGGGGAGACTTGTGTTTAGAGTGCTGTGGTTTGGAGGGGTGATGTCTACCAGCAACTGGTATCTTATCTGGAACACTGTAAAGACTCAGTGAACTGGGCCATCTTTCTGTTCTCCACAGAATAATTAAGTCAGACTTGCATTTTCTATCAGAAGAGGCCATGTGATGTGACTGGTTTATGACTTGTGAAGGAAAAATACCCTCCCAGGTCGTAGTCCGCTTTTTCCTGTTGAAAGACACTTGAAGGGCTGGATAGGTGGTTCCTGTTAAGAGCATGCGTTGCTCCTGCAGAAGACACAAGTTCAGTTTCCAGTGTTCACATGGCAGCTCATGACCGTCTGTAACTGGAGTTCCAGGGGATCTGACACCCGTTTTTTGGCCTCTGTGGTGTGCACATGCTACAGATACATATATACAGGTAAACACACAATACTCATAATAAATAAATAGAGCTTAAGAAAAATAAATTTGATCATGAGTATGATGAAGGGTCCCTGTTGTTAGGCAGCCGATAGTCAGCAGCTAGGACTTAGTCATTTTAGTTTGGAAAAAATGATATATTGACACATTGAAGTTTTAGTGGATATTCTGTAGTATTGTGGTAAAGAGTAAACGTGATTTTCAGTATTGTGATTTTTTTTAAAAGTATGTACATATGTTGGGAATGGTGGTATATGTTAGTAATCCCAGGCAGAGGTAGAGCCAGGGAATCAGGAGTTCAAGGCCAGTTTCAGCTTCATAGAGAGCTTGAGGTTGTTGTGGGACCCTATCTCAAGACACCATCAGCAGCAGCAACAAAAACTATGTTCTGGGGATAAGGAAAGGGTATGCAAAAGTAGCAGCATGGGCTAATGCTTTAAACAGCAGCTGGGACTGGAGAGATGGTTCAGCAATTAAGCATTGGCTGCTCTTCCAGAGGACCCAGGTTTGATTACCAGCACCCACATGGCAGCTCACAACTGTCCGCAACTGTCTCAAGGACTCTGAGACTCTGCTGGTACTGTGGACACCAAGTATGCCTGCGATGTGATGCACAGACATATGTGTATACACATACAAATAACAAATAGATAAATCTCTAAAAAAAAAATGTCAGAGCAGCTACTGTTCTTGCAGAGGACTGAGGATTGGATGCCAGTACCCCATGGTGGCTCACAGTAGCCTGTAACTTTAATTTCAGGGGAACCAATACCCTATTCTGGTCTCCATGGACTCAAACATGCTTGTGGTGCACATTCATGCACTCTGGCACACATGCACATAAAATAAAAATAAAATTTTAAGACAGTACCTAAAAGCAGTTTTGCAAGGATCATTTTTTTCCTCCCAGCTGTTCTGTCATAAGTTGTCCTTCCCATTTTGCAGATGAAGAAACTGAGGCTTAGACTAGGAGTGAAATGACTACTTAGCTGGGAGGTGAGAGAGCCAGGATCTCTGGTCCTGGGGTTTAGGCTTTGGGAGAAAACACAGCTGCCTGGATTGCTGGTGAGATGTAGGAGTTTAGAAGATGTCAGAAGATGGTGGAGGGCAGGCGTGAGTGTGTCCTCTGAGTCTGAGGTACTCTTCAGGGCAAGAGAAGTGTCTGGTGAGCCTTGAATGGGCAGGGAGAACGGAGAGGACATGGGCTTGTCTGACCACCAGATAAGAGAGGTGGCTGTGGGGAATGTGGTAGGTAGGGTTGAATGACAAGATGAGGCTCTGCTCTGGGTGGGCAGTTGTCAAAGATGACTTTTTTTTTCTGTGCTAGGATTTTAAGCCAATTCTGTGACTTTCATTGATTAACTTCAACTTTTAGTTCCTAGACTTCATTTTCCCACCCATAACGTCCTTATTAGCTATGCATGCCTCATACCTAAGTATCTTGGTCATTTCTGAGTACTTGTAAGGTCCCAGGTCTTGGGAATTCTGGTGTTTGTGGGGTTATGCT